AAGATGCCAATCTGAAGGTGGTTATAACTATTGCAGTAACTACCCTGAGCTGTAAACTAGGGCATCACAGGGCCATTTGTCTGTGGGAATTACATTAGAAGAAGTACAGTGGAGCAATCACAAGTAACAAAAAAGAAATGTTAATTTCTAGTTACATCCCCACCTCCCCAAATTAATTGTCCATGGTAACAATTTTTTTTAAGAGACAGGGTCTCACTATGTTGCCCAGGATGTCCTTGAACTCCTGGGCTCAAGCAATCCTGCTACCACAGCCCGCCATGTAGCTGGGATTATGCGCTTATGCCACCACATCTAACTCATGGTAACATTTTTAGAAGCCCCCTTTACTCTCCTCCCCATCTTAGCCAAATTCTCTAGCACGCCAAAGATGCTCTGGTGTCACACTAGCTATTTACATTTTAATTAATTAAAATTAAATAATTAACAGCTTTTCAGTTACAATAGCCACCTTTCATGTGTTCAATAGCTACATATGGCTAGTGTCTATGCTATTAGACAGCACAGATATAAGGACATTTATTGTTGGGCATTCTACTGGATAGAGCTTATCTAGATAAAGTTTCTCTTTTGCCAAACTTTAAAATCCTCTCTGAAAGATACACTTATCTTGCCCTTCTCTCTCTCATCCTGACATTCTTCAACAATCTCTCCATTATACAAATTAGTTTAGCCTCTCTGTTTTTTTCTCCACTTAGTCAATTGCCAGATTCTCCATTATGAAGGTCCCAGGAAACTGACACAACCAGCATGAATTCTACTACGCAAGGCTTTCTTTTGCTTCTGTAACTCTATACATAGAAATCTCTCTGGAAGTCAAGACACTTTCCAGGGGGTGTATACAGGAAAATGTACACATCAACAAATGATGTTTGTGTGCATTCCTCATATATATTAGCCTTAACTAAACATAAATACTGGTAGCAAAGTGGTTCAAATAGACTGTCAGCTGCTTCTTTATTTTTAGCATAGGTACGGAGTAGATACCAGTCATTGAACCTGTACAGAAAGTAGGTATTGGTACTAAATTAACATGCACTACTTGATATCTGAGTGAATGATTCTCCAAGTCACCATGAGTTGTTAGAAGATTTATATGTTGGTCATTTTTACCTTTTTGTTCTCAAATGCATTCTTTTTTTTTTTTTTTTGAGACGGAGTTTCGCTCTTGTTACCCAGGCTGGAGTGCAATGGCGCGATCTCGGCTCACTGCAACCTCCGCCTCCTGGGTTCAGGCAATTCTCCTGCCTCAGCCTCCTGAGTATCTGGGACTACAGACACGTGCCACCATGCCCAGCTAATTTTTTGTAGTTTTAGTAGAGATGGGGTTTCACCATGTTGACCAGGATGGTCTCGATCTCTTGACCTCAAATGCATTCTATATCCATTCCCTGCAAACTGTGTCAACTGGCTTCCAGCAAGGTTTGCCCATTAGAAGGCACTGATGGGAGATCAGAGAACAGTTGAAAGGGAGATGCCAGGGTATCTCCTCCCTTCGAGGCAGCCTTTCCAGCCCTGCCTACAACTCCTCTATTTTTCCTGCTCCTACCAGATAGGTCCTCCAGCCATGACCAGCTTCTACTAGATGGCCCAGCTATTTGGTTCTGGGACTACTATATTCTCTTTTTGTCCCTCTCGCCCAGAGGAGTGCTGGCTCCCTTAGGGGGTTGGGGAAAGGGCAGAAGCCTTGATGTGAAACACTCGCCAGTGTCTGTGGTGTAAAAACACCCTGACTTGCAAAATTCCTGAATATGTAACAGTGTGCTCTCAGGAGCCTATGTAAGCTGACTCCAGCGCATGACTGCTCCATCCCTAAGTAGAGTTTCTGTTGTTCATCCCTAGGTTTCTTCACAGCCCCTTTTAGTTTCTCAATATTTTCAGCTTCTTTATTACTAATTATCTAAATTATTTCTCTTAGCCACCTGGCATGGGCTTTGTTTTCTTGATTATAACCTTACTGTATATTGTTAAGAGAGCAAAATTTGTTAAACTACTTCTGAAGTACCAGAATATAAATGAACCATATGACTAAGCGTGCTAGGAATTAAGCTGCTATTACTGGTTACAGAGTGAGACTTTCTAGATAAAGGAAGCCATGAATCAATTTAACTGTGGCACAAGGTTCTTATCACTGTGCATGGGAGGCAAAGTTCGTGGTAGCTGTGTGCTATAGGAACACTGTAATGGGACACTCTGGAAAAGCTATTTGATAATACGTATCAAAAGCCTCAAAAGCTTCCTATCTTTTTGTTCTCCAGCTCTTCTTTAACAGAATCTCTTATAGGAATTCATGCAAAAAGAAGGGAAAATCCTCATGCACAAAGACATTTATTGCGGTATTACTTAAAATAGGGTAAATTTGGAAGCAATTTCAAAGTGAAAAAATTGACAAATATAAATCCATTTGATGGGATATTGTGCACCTTTGAAATTACAATGATCAATACTGTAGCAATGCAAGGAAAAGTACATATTACTAAGCAATAAAATTAAGAAAGAAAATTTTACAAGCATGATAATACTCATATGAGAATAAACATGCCAAAATAAAAGGACTAAAAAGAAATATATACAAATAATGGTTGAATTATGTTAGGGGTTATAAGTAGATGAATTTCTTACCTCTAATTTCCAAGGAGTTACTTTTTTATAATGTAGGCATTTCATTTAGTTTTGTTAAATAAATAATAATGAGACCTACTAACATACTTAACGAGAATATTTAGTAGGAAAAAAAGATACTATGCATTAAGACACCCCTGAATACTGTTTGATATTTACATTCTAAGCCTTCAATAGGCCTGAAGTTAAATTAAGATCCCCAATCTGCCTATCTGTATTCATTTTCTATGTATGTTGCCTCCTCACCTAAATTTCACCTGCTAACTGCTATCAGGCCTCTTTTTCAAAGAAGTGGCTGGTATCACATATGTACATACAACTAAACATGGTGTCTCTCAGGTCTTTTCAACCTTCTTTCTACTAAACAGTAGAAGACTGTCTCTTAGAGGGGCACCTTCTGGCTGTTTATAAACAGGTGAGAGAAGTATCGAAGGCTTAAAGAATTTGGTCCAAGGGATCCAAAACAGGTCTATTTATTGCCCTGATCAGCATGGCTTCAAATCCCTTATTCTGAGTACTTGATTTTCTTAAGAACTCCTTCTTCTGCTACATCCTCTTGCCCTCCCTATTTCCATTCACCACAGCTAGATCTTTAAAAACAAGGCTTACTTACACCAGATACCTAGATGCAAAAAAGGAAAAAAAAAAAAAAAACCTTAAAATCAGTCCTCATCCAATTTGTTTTGAATTTAAAATAAACAAACAAAACCTACCTGCAGAATTCAACCCACAATATTGCCACACAAACCACCAAAGACTGATACCAGTGTCCAACATAATTATAAAATAACAGTAAAGATCTCAGGTTCTGGAGTGCCAATCAATGTATGGGTTTCAGTATTTGCTTTTCCACTTACAAGCTGACAGCTCTTAGGAAAATCCTTAATCTTTTTGTCTTTCCATTTCCTTGTCTATGAAATGGGAATAGTATCTCATAGAATTTTGAAAGCACTAAATTGGTAATTTCATGTAAAGCACTCAGACTAGCGTTTGGCACTTAAAAAGTACCCAATAAAGTTTAGGTCATACTGTTTTAGGTTCTCGCTCCAAAAAATAAATATGTCATGATGTGTCCCCTACTGGGTCCATGATCAGTTAGAGTGTAGCAGGCACAAAAATGAGTAAATCCTTCCCAGAATAAACTTTTTTAAAAAAAATCCAAGTCATTTCTCAACAACTTGGGAGCCCATCACCCTTTGAAGAATGACTCACAGAAATGCCATTCCATTCACACCACTGCCAAGGGAACAGCCGCCTTGCACAAGCACAGAAAACTGTGTGTGTTAGGAAACATTCTGAGTGGATATTTTACACACGAGTTTTTGGGAATGTCTGAATGTGGTTTTGCTACCTTTCAAAGCTAGTTAAAACTGCAAGCTGGCCTTTTGAACTTATAGGCCCCCAGCCCTTTCCTCCTATTTCTGCCATCCCCATCTCCTTCCTGATGAATCTACTCATGATTTCCACATGTAGGATTCATCTTTCTCCAGTCCTCAACCAACTCAGACTGAGGTAACCATCCCACTCAGCCCCATTAACCCATGGGGCTTAGAATGGGTCACTTCTTCAGTCCTGAGGACTAGTTTCATTACCATTGTTGGGTTTCCACGTGGCTCTCTTGGGTCTGCAACACTTTCTAGAACTTATGGTTCTCTATTGACCTGTGACTTGCCCTGTGTCAGCTCCATCTAACAGCCACCCTTTTTTGGGCTTGGTCAGAGAACTTGACTTCTTAAGTCTTGGTTCCTACCTCTCAGTTATGGCCAGCTACCCTGGATAGTAAGTAGCCCAGCCCAGCTCCCAAAACTGGAGCTTGCCCCTCTACTGCGGGTCGAGACTTCATGGGACTGACTTGCTCATAACTGTTCTCTTGGTTCCTTCTCTCAATTCAGGATCTATGGATAGGACTCTCACTACTGAACTCATTCCATCTGAGTAGCCACTTCTCTCTCAACCCCCTAAAACTTGTTTCCTCAGAGCTGCCATTCCCAAAATTCTAATTAAGTCTAATCTGAACTCTGCCTTGACCACAAGACAGTCTGTGAAACCAGTTTTTGGAACTTTCTCATCCCAGCCCATTCTAGGGTATGGGTTCATGTCTGTTCCTGGTCCTCTTGCTACCTATGTGTTTCCAATGAGCAAGCATAGGCTGAAGAGTATATTGTGAATATTTCTTGGTAATTAACAAAAACACCTTAAAAGTCTTAGGCCTATGAATTAAATGTCAAAAAACCCACAGCATCAACACAGCAACATCAAAACATCATGATAGAAATGTGATGATATTTACTTCTCAAAAGTTCTAGCTCATCAAAATAAACCACCTGAAGATATAAAATATCAAAACATTTTTGAGCCAATCATCCAGTCATGCCTCTGTCCATTTCATTGGACATGCCTACCTCAAACCACTGCCCGTGAGACTGCATCTTGAGGATGACACAGGGGTCTGGTTTGGAAAGGGCATCTCTGTCAGAAATGCCTTTGCACGCCACACGGAGCTCAACTTTGGTCAGGCAGGGGCTGTTAAAGATTCCTAGTGTGTTGGCAGCCGACTCATAAATGTTGCTCATCTTCTTCATTCTGTTTTAGGCAAGTAAAAGAAGAAAAAAGATGTCCCAATCACCACAATATTTGTCAAAGGAGAAAGCCTCCCAATCACCCTTCAGAAAATTTGACACACAGTTTCAAACACTGAAGGTATTTATCTCACTTTCCAACCCAGTGGCACAGTTCCAGTGAAACAAATCAAAACAAACAAACAAAGAAAAAACAGGTGCTGGTGCACTTGGCTAAGAATACTATTTTCTTCAATGATTTGCATACATTTGCATAGTAAAATTTTTGGTCTGTGAAATAAAATTAATAAATTAGTTCAATAGACTGCAAACTTTAATCCAGCTCTATAATAAGTGCATGGCTTCTGTGATATTTTACAGATTTGTTGGTTCATCAATTTAATCACATCTCAAGTTTTCAAGACTAAAAATCCAACTTAACTCCTATGTGATGGCATGGAAAAGTACATTGTTCTTTCTGAAGAAACAGCCAAATTTCCCATCCCTAAAACTTTGCCCATCTTCTCAAAATGCCATAAGCAAGCCAGCTCCAAGACAGAGGCCCAGCATCTGAGTCCCTGTCCCCAAATTCATGATCCCATTCTCGCCTTTCCCTTTCCCACTCCCACTTGCCATATCAGAACTCAGAATCAAAATGGGGAAAGGGATGGGGAGGAAAAGCACAAAGCTTCCTATTCTGAACTTGTGGAAACAGCAGCTACATTTAAGTATTCCAGGCCACCTGTCCATCTCCATGTGATATCCTTTATAAAAACACTTTGCATTCCACAGCCCCAGTGATCCACCAGAGGCCATCAGTGCTCTCCTTCTCTGAAGAGGACTACACCTGTAAGATTCTCTTAGGAGCAAAATTCAATACTTTGCTTATGCGATTCTGTGTCCTTGTAGATTCGTCAGGGAAAATGACAGCCTCACATGGCATTGGTGGTCTGCAGTGGAATTTCTTCATCTATAAAATGTGAATAATTCCTCTCTCTCTCCTTCCCTTTTTCCACAAATATTTAGTGAGCTTCCCCTTGGTACCAACACCACACTAGGTTCAACTGAGTACACCATACATTACACACACACACGCACACACGCACACCAATAGTGTTTTATTGAAACACAAGCATGCACATTCATTTATGTATTTATGTAGTTGTCTGCAGTTCCTTTCACTGCGATGCCAGAATTGAGTAGTTGCAATAGAGATTGCATGGCCCACAAAGCCTGAAATATTTACGTATTATGTGGCCCTCTTTAGAAAATGTTTACTAACCTCAGTTCTAAAATATTAGGTAAGGGAAATTTGTGGTTTTGGAGAGTTGCAATTCTGGTTTTAATATGTGTTGAGAAATTGGTTTTAGGATGAGAGCTGCTCTATCTTCTACCAAAGTGAACATTAATAGGAACTTTGGGACATTTGTTTTTTACATATGAGAAAATTCAAGCTCAGAGAGGACTGGCAGCTTGCCCATATTGTGCAAATTATTCTAATGGCAGAGCTGGGGCTGGAGTACCAGTTTTCTATCTCCCAGCCCAAAGCTACTTTTTTTGCTGTTGTTTTTACCACAGGTAAAACCTTTAGCTGGAGAACTATTCAAATGTACCAAGAACAGTGGATACAACAAATATCCTTGATTTATTTCAACCTCTGTACAGAGTCATACATCCCTTCTATTTGTAAACAAATTCTTTTCAAATACAGGAAACACACAGATTATAAGTCTATAGCTTCATAAACTATTTTCCCTCTATTTTTACAAGTTGCGAGCAGATCATTCACTACAGCAACAAAGGTGACAGAGTATACGGAAAATGAAATTTACAAAAAAGCAATGGGAGGGAAAGAATCAGCTGGTGGAAAGATGGCTTTGTTCAGACAGGTCTGTAAGCATGTTGCAAACGCTATTTATCAACGGTTTGATAAGAACAGCTTATTCTTCAATCAATATCTTCCTGAATTCTGCCTTCCCAATGCATTAACTGGCTCCTTAGAATCTTTACATATGAGAAAACCCTCATCTGCAGCCTTCACTGGCCTCTCCTATCTCTAAGAGCCATCATTGTCCCTTCTAACTTTCCCTATCCTTGTAGGCTCCTGACGTGTCCATCTCTTCCAAATCCACTGTTTTAATATGTGTTAGAAAATACATATTGTATGTAAAATACTATGTGAGCTATGATAAAATGGGACATCTCTAATACCAGTCTTGATTGTGAGGTATAATACAAAAAGACTCTGTCAAGGAAACACATAATTCCTAATTCAAATATTGACTCCTCCATTCACTGACCATGTGACCTTGGGCAGGGTATTTCACCTCTCAGATGGTAATACCTATCTTGAAAAGTTGCTCTAAAGAGCAGATTAAATAATATATGCAATGTGATTACCACAATACCAGCTATATTGTGAATGCTCCAAAGGTGGTAGCTATTATTACTGTGTTCTGACTTATCTTCAGATAAAGTCATCCATGCTTCCACTACCAACTAAAAACCTTTTACATGACTCACTATTAAGACCAAACTTCTAAAAGCCCATTTAAGTGTCTTCTCTATTTGAAATCTGCACAATCTGAGCATACTACCCTCCATCTAAGAGCACATAGTCATCTTTCAAATCAGTTTATTGAGGATTCATACACATGAACCAATAACTCTCACAGGTTCACAAGTCAGACAGTAAAACAATGGTGACAGCTCTTCTAATAATGTGAAGCTGCTTTATAAACTTCCTGAGATAGACAATTTATTCTTCAAACAGTGTTCTTGCCAAAGCATTGGCTGGCTCTATGGGAATCCTCCTATATTCCATAAAATCCCTCTCTTGGTCCATATAAAAGATAGTCACATGTTATGTGCAATTCACAAGGCATCTGATGGGAATGACAGGATTCCCACAATGCAGAGATTCAACTGTCTCATCCTCCCTCATTTATTCATTTTCAGGTTGTTACAACAGTTTTGGTTCACATAGGCCTGGTTAAGTGAATTTCAGATCACAATATTTAGTTTTAACTACGCCTACCTCCCCAATGGATTACTGCAAAGAAATCTTATTAAATATAAAAAAATACTGTAGGCAACCAAACACCACGAAATAGCAGAGGTGACATATTTTCTCTTAGTCTGAGGTTCCTGTTGGCCATCATACTTGCTTAAATTGGTAGCAATATTATCACACATGTTAATAGTTGCTCAAGATAATTAAAAAGTACCAAGGCTTCTTGAAATATGGATTGATACATACAATCACTGATAGGATATTCTATATCAAGTGAATGCAGTTCTTGCTCTGAGTTATTAATGATAGTAAATTTAAGTAGTTTATCAGTGAATGAACATATGAACTGGAGGCACATGTTTAGAGTTTTTTTAAACAATGGAATAAATGATTCAGAAATTTTATGGATCATTTCTTCAAGCAATGGGAAACAAAAGATTTGAAGCTGGGAAATGGGCACAATCAAATAAATATTTGATAAAGTACTGATATGATGGTTGGACTAAAGGAGAGAAAAACATTCGTGATTATATGAGGCTGTTTTGCTGGTCACTTCTATTCCTACTTTTCCCATTGTTTCTACTTTCTTCCCTCTGCTCAGGGCCCTAAAAGGCTTACCTCTGTTGACTGCCAGCACATTGTTGGCAAGTGTTACATTGGGTTTCACTAAAAGGATGCAGTTTTGGTGAAGGGAGGAGAGAGAGAACAGTATATTTCTTCCCAACTCCTACCTGATCTTTAGCAGTAGCCAAGCAAATGACCATAGCTCTATCTGCAAACCTTCAGATCTCACTGGCCTTGGTAACACTGTTTCCTCCCCTTACTCCTTTAGGCTTAGGGTTAGTAATGTTTTCTTGCCAGTCTTATTAAAGTGGGCATCCTAGAAGTAAATCCTGAAACAAGGATTCAGATGCACTTGATTTCCTTATCTCAGAGGAGAGAAGAAAAGTATGGGAAGGAAAGAGGTGGTGTCAGCTGGAGTCCAGCTTCAATCTGATTCCATGGGAGCTCTGGGACATGAATTGTACCCTTGAGGAAAGAGGTTCAGCCTATTTTAACTCCATGTGAGAGTGTCATGCTAGGGATGGGGGGGGCAGGACATAAACTCTTAGATTTGTTGCTTCCTTCCCATGGCTTAAAGCAATCAGGCATTCCCCAGAAAAGGAGCAGCTGTGAGCCATTATCAGTCAACACTTTTAGTCCTTCAGGGAGGGATGCATGACTGGATAAAGGGCATCGAGGCAGAATATCATCAGGGTCTATTTTACCACAATGACTGCTCTCTGGGAACCTCCCTATAAATTCCTTTATCTTTCATCACATAACTGTAAATGTTCTTCTCATTAAAATCTCTTGAATCAATAGAGATGATTCTGTTTTCTATCTGGAACAGAACTAAACTAGAACAGTACCACTGGAACAAAAATCAGGAGTGGTGTGGCAGACAAAGGCTAAGACGGCCACCTCCTGGTATTTATGCCCTGTGTAATACCCTCACGCCTTGAGTGTGAGATCAGTGACTTACTTTTAACCATTAAAATATGGCAAAAGCAGCTGAATGCCACCTCTACCATTATGATGCATCAGATAATGACACCCTCTTGCTAAGAGGCTCTCTACCTTGTTGGCTTTAATGATGTGGCCATGTTGGGAGGCAAAGAACTGAGGGTAACATTCATCAAATAGCCAGCCAGAAACTGAGACTCAGTCCAATACACTGCAAGGAAATGAATTCTGCCAGCAACCATGTGAGCTTGGAAGTAGATCATTCTCCAGTTGAACCTCAGATATGAAAGCAGCCCTGACTGACACCTTGATTGCAGACTTGCGAGACTTGGAAACAGTGAATCCAAATAACCTGCAACAGTAGTTCTGACCTATGGAAACTGTAAAATAATTAATGTGCACTGTTTTGAGCAGCTAAATTTGTGGTAATACTATCTAGCAACCAATAATTATTAATAATACAGATTCAACAGGTGCTCCAAGGGGTGTGTGTGTGTGTGTGTGTG